TTATATATTTGCCTTGAAAATTGACATCAGATGCCATTTGGCGCTGTGTATTTATTCATTAACTAGCTGAGTAAAGTCTTCAAAGAATATGTTTTATCTTTATTCAAACACATGTCAAAAGAGATTATCGTATAAAACATATAAAAATCACTGTGTCATTTCCGTCTCTCACTTAAGACAAGTAATGCTTGTCGTTACGAGGCGCTTGATCTTCGACGAAGTGTTCAACTCATTCTGTATAACTTACTACTTTGCAAGCTCAAAAGACACTAACATCAAGTGTATACATACAGTTGTGTGTGTGTGTGGGTCCGAGTTTGGATGTTAATATCTCTTTGTTTATCGTTATTTATTCATATATTTATTAGAGTTTTTTTTATTGTTGTTACAATACATTGGTTATCGCAATAACTGCCCATTTGCTCAATTCTCTTCTTTCAAATAATCAATAGAAAGTAAATCTTCACACTAGAAATCAATTCTTGTTAAAGATTGATAGCAACAAATGATAGATATCGATGAATGTCTATTTCGGACAATATTTAAATATTATATCTATGTCAGTCAATATGTGTGCATGTATATCTACTTTTATACCATATAATTCATTTTTGATTACAAAACAATATATTTCATGTTGAATTTCAATATCTGTACATTTTTTTGTTTTTCAATTCAATCAATAACGTCAACTAGAATAACAACAGTAACCATAATAAAATTAAATGCGAATAAAAAGTCATATTAAAAAGAAAATCAAAATTTAAAGTTAAAATAATGATAATAATTAGCTTGTCCCTTATCACATGAATCATTTTATGAAATGCTTCACTACCTATATGTTATCTTTGATGTTCTAATTATTAAATAGAATATATGACATTTTTTACGCCTTTTATTTTCTAACCTTAAGAAAAAAAAACGAAACAAATATGTTTATAAAGCAAGAAGAAATGGAAATGGCAAGGCAAAGTCATATTTATATGTTGTTTACCTTTGGTTTACACATTTAAGGCGTTCTAACCAATAGGTTAATTGAAAAAGTCTTAATGATCTGTCCCTTTTTCTACTCTTTTTTCATATTGTCTTCATATCTATTTCATTAAATTCTAAAAATAAGTTAACTGAATATCAATTACTTTGCTTTTTATTAGACATCATAGTTCTTGGAGGATGAGATTTAAGTTGTTTAAGATTCAACAAAAATTTTAAAGCAAAGTGATATGATATAAATGTTCCACACTCTTTATTAAGAGCGACAAGGATAAGAAAAATTTATACACTACATGTAAAATTGTTTATCGGAGTGACCAAACGTTAGGGAGTTTCATTTTGTTAGATTCTAACCCAGATCGTTCATTTCAACCGTCGAAAATGGCGTCTTATCTGGCCTGAAACGGCTATAAAATGCTAAATTACTGCCTCAATTTTGGCTTTGTTATGTCGTAATCCGTCATACCGTTTCATGAGCCATTTTTATCGCTAGAAAACGGCCATCGTTTTTCCACGGTTTTGCTTACGTAATCTGGTATGACGAATTAAGGCGCCGTTTTCTTGAACCTGAGAATATCTACTTCTTGCCCATTGCAAAAGTAAATTCTTTGAATCTTTATTATAGATAGAGGCCATTTAGACCTACTATCACTAAAAATTTCATCGAGATTTCTTTGGCTCGAGCTGACAAGGAAATGTTTCCAAGTTCTAGGACGCTTTTGAGTCCGCACTTCGCGCATTCTGGAAATCTTAATGAGTTGTGTCTACCATAAAAATAGCTCATGCCCATAGATTGTTTCTGAGGAGATCGAACGTTTTTACTATTACAGCTCTACGAGTTATCTTGTAAAAGAAAGTACTATCTCAGTCTATATCAGTTGAAACGAACTGTGATTTTCCTCATATAATGTAGTACTCATATGGTAGATAAGGCGACAGTAGGAGCACACAAGAGCTTAGAAAGAAGCAGAGCTATCGGTTTTATAAAATGTTAATGCTGTTCTAAATATTTTGAATAAGAATATCAACTTCGTCTCTAGATGGCACCTTGGAACTAAAATTGATCGAATGAGCATAATTGTATTAATATTCTAATGCTAGTTTGTGAATCACAAATTTATAACGTATTTCACGTAGTTTACGGCTTGAAAACGATGCAAACACAGATCATTTTACGGATACTTTAAAGACTGATTTGAATAGTGATAAGATATTGTAAACAGATTATATACTGACCGCTTATGATATTATTAAAATATCCACTGTATTTCTGCACCCGATCAAACACTAAATACAGGTAGTTTCCGATCTGTATTGATACTGTTTACTACCGTAAAGTTGACGTGTTTTCACGTCTACTAACTGAAAACGAGTTGTCAACATTATCCATTTTGAGCGACTTGAAGGTGAGTAAAGATTCAGAATATCAAGGTTCCCTAGCGTCGAGGTAATGTCGATACGAGTACATAGAATGCCCATTTGAATGATGCTTTTCGAAGTAGACTATAAATCGAACAAGTAATACTTTTTGCTGCAACTCACTTCAGATGTGGATGGAAATGTGGGTATTAGCATGAGTGTAAGTGTGAGTGTCCGTGTCGATATCGATTAGGATACCCGCGAGGGTGTCGATATAGTTGCAGTATAGGGCTTCTCTTCACTTTTCAAATAATAACACCCATACTCAATGTATATAAAACATCTGACAACCACACTAATGCACTCACATAGGTATGCACACACAGCAAACTCAACACTCATAACTCACCTCGTCACAACAGCATCCAAACTTACACTTACACCACACAAACACACAGACTGCATACCCAAACTTACAAGCACACGTGCATCCACGCCCTAAAAATAAACTACACTCAGATGTAACTCACATTCTAATACCCACGCTCACACCCATATCAGCGGGTCCCAACTTCACAATAACATCCACTCGTTCCATATGATTCGCATAAATGTCAGTCTAAAAAAACTGGTTGAACGAAAATTGAGATATTGAAAGCATCTAGTTAGCTCAACTTTCAGTATGAAAACACTTATTAGTTGAAACCTATAGGGAAAAAAAGCCATGCCATTCCCTGAAATTCCAGCCTGAGAAAACTAATTAGACAAAAGCTAGAAATGGAAAACACCGAATAGGCTGAAATCTTTCCCGTAAAAAAACGGATTGACTGAGAGCTGGATAGCAAAAGTACTTGAGTGTATGTCACGCCAATGGCAAAATAATATGATTGGCTGAGTCGGTAGTATGAAAAAAAAATTATTTCAAATAGCTGCTCAAGATCCTCTCAAATATATGTATACACGTGGCTTAATACGAGCTAGCAAATATACAAGCAAGCAAGTTTATTTTATTGCATATGAATTTCTCCTCAGTCGATGGAATAATAGTCGAACATTCTATAAAATTCGTGTTCAAGAATCAAATAAAGATGATTAATTAAATTATTGATAGATATTCATCATTAAAATTGTGACTTAGTCTTCTAATTGATATGTTGTATTGATCTCTACGTATTGCTGTACAGCATACATACAGAAAAACATTCATGATCTTTAGTTATTATTGACAGAGGAATGACCCGAATTGATATTCAACGTCTGAGCTCATATGAGATTCACAAAAAGGTCATGTTAAGACCAGAAAAAATGTAAAAAGATTTCGTTCCCATTGGTCTTTGGAACTGAATCATGACTGTTTTACTGAATTTTCGATCCAGCTTTAGGTATTTATGAACAAATCAAATAACGGAATTTTGACCTGAACTTTTACCTATAGATAGGTCTAATAACTCTGAGAATACCCTGAAAGTTACTGCCAAAAAGAATGTTTCTTTGTCGAAATATGACACAACCATCAGATCTCCTTGAAAATTCAACATCTTGACAAAAGAGCATTATTTCGGCCGAAACTTTCAAGATATTATACTAGTCATTCGGCCTGTTAATGGGCAAAACTTCACATGGTAACATTTGATTTTTTAGTAAATACCTGAAATTGGATCAAAAATTCAGAATAACAGTTAAAACTCGACTCCTGAGACCCATGGGCACGAGTCCTATTAGGATTTTTCTAGTCATACCGAGATATTCATGTGAACCCAATATGAGCTCAAAGATATATTGTTCTTGTTATTGTTGTAATGATGATACTAAAGATTATACACACATGCTTGGAGTTGTCATTTCCATTATTGATAAAGATATTTTTTATTTTTCAGTAGAATGATGATCCACCTTCAAACGATCTACCACAACAGGTTTTCGATATGAAGCAATGACGTCGATTCATGTTACCTGCTTTTATCCTAACACCTTGATATCTACATCATATGTGGTAGATATCAACTGATAAAGTATAGTGTAAAAAACATAGATTAATATGAGTAAGGGTAAATATGAATCGTATAATAATCGGAGCAGGTAAGAGTAAAAAATAGTTTAATCTTAAAATTACTTTTTTATTGGCAAGTATAATTAGACAAATTGATTAGAGATTGATTCTGTACGTTTTAAATACTATATTTAATTGGTAGAAAATGCTAAGTTTTGTTAAAATATGAGCAATAAAATTATTTTTTCTTAATGGTTTTTAAAGAAAAATCATTTGGTAATGCAAGAATCAAATAAATACGATCGATAAATAGCATATTAGAAAAAAAGTATGAAACAGTTATAGGAGCTGATGTGAACAGAGTATATAAAGATATTGATGGGTTATAAGCTTTGAATGAGAAGAACTTCTTAAAAGTTATCTACTAATCATTTTTGAGTAACTCTTGATAGTTCACTTTAAAAATAATCCATTTTTTAATCAGATTTCATCTCTTTTTCTATCAGAAACAGAAAAAGAAAACAGAACACTTGAACCATTCGAATGCCCTTGTTGTGTTTGAATAACACTCGCAAGAATAAAAACAATATTTCAATTAAAAAAGCTTTCGCATGTTTTCACTTCTTTACTTTCTTCATTATTATCAGTAAGCGAGATATTATTCATTGCCAACCCATTTAATACCACGAGGCGTATCTTTCGGTGGCTTACATACTCCACATCGGCAGTCAATATATTTTCGAGAAGGTAATATTGATTCTTGACTATCAATCGATATTCCACTCTCTTTGCTAGGTGATTCGTACCATTTTGGTGCTGCATAATGATATTCAGGAGGTCGCCATGGTTTCGGTGCATGAACTGAATTGACTGGCATATACCACCAACGAGAATCATATGTTGCGACTTCTTTATCATGCTTATGATGATGATGTCGATGATGATGTTTATGTTGATGATGGTGATGATGAGATGACTTGTGTTCATGATCAACTGAATTAGAATGAGACAAATGTTCAAAATGATGATAATCAGGTGATGGATGAAGATATACAGGAAGATGATGATGATTATGATGATGATGAGAACGATCACTAATCGGTGGTAAATGAACATGTTCTTTGTAATGATTTTCACTAGGTTGAAGGACCGTATTTAGTTTTGAGTGATGATGTCGATGATGAGATTTCGAAGATGGTTCAGGAAGTTGTACAGATTCGTCAATATCAACTATTATTATTTACAGACATGCACCTATAAATAATATATAGAATTCATATAACACATGACTTACCAACACCTGTCGGCATTGTACGTTCTTGCATTAATTGAGTAGTTTGAGGTGCTCCATGACCCATTGTATAATCGGAGACTTCGACAGATTTAGCATCTGCTTTACTGAATAATTGGCTTTTTGCCTGTTCATTCTCATTTGTTGTACCATGGTGATGCTTCTTTTTGTGACGTTTTTCTCTTGACATCTTATGGTACGACTACTAAACGAATGAATTTCTTTTTCTTCTCAATTCTTTTTCATTTAATTCATGTAAAATACAAAGCAAACAATCACTCGATTAATAAAATCACAATCGATGAAACATTGCTCTGCTTTACTTTTTTTTCTTGTCTTTTGCAATTTGAAATTGTTGAGGTATACTCCTTTTTTTTGACCTCCTTACATAACAATCATATAATATAAGCAGCATTTGAGAATCGTAATAACACTACATTATCCTCGAAAAACCTTCAATATTTATAGCAGACAGTCAAGAAACATTCTCATACAGATAAAACTGCATTTATATCTTTTTTGTATATTCAAAAAGTTAACAAATATGTTAATAATAATCGTGCGGTGATCAACTATTCATTTTTATTTTTGAATTTGCTTTTTATTTAATTTTTGCTTAACATTTTTGTCTTAAATAAAAATGTTCGTCAATTTGTATAAAGAAAATATAGAATAAACTTTAGATTGAATATCATGTATGTAGTACAAATCTGAAGAAAAAGAAAATGTTAAAAGCGACTTCTATCGTCTCTAATATCAATAAAAGTATTTCTGAGCAAATGTTTTTGTATTCGTTGTTATTAGCCGTTAATAATAGCAAAATGTATTTACATTAAGTAAGAAACAACATATTATTCATTGTACTTGCTGAATAAAATTGTAAAAGAACTTCGACTACTTCAGTTACAATCAACTCATTATTGATTACCAAACGATAACGTGGATTTTTTTTCAGATGGAAATTATTTCTTTCTTTGAGATTTTTATACTCTAAAATGATTGATTTGTTTTACAAACGTATGTATGTGTTATAAATTTACAAAAAACACAACAGCAAAGTTTTCATCTTGATTTTTTTGTCTACTCTTCTAGTCCTTATGAATTCCATTGGATACATAAGGTATTGATCTTGAAGTACCTTGTAAAAAAAATCGTTTCTTAAGAACTTACACTTGTTTTATTCGTATGCAATGAAATTTTCGAGTCATGGATAATTTTACTGTCAAATTATTTTGAAGTGTGACCACAGACTTCGTTAGATTAAAAAAAAACCGAAACCCTTAAATCATTAAATAGATACAAAAATTCTTAAGCCCCCCCCCTCCCTCATAAAATGTCAGTTTTCGTTGGAATAGTCAAAGCTGAGATAAATACATGGGAAGATAGCCCGTCATCTGCTCTTTCATAAACGATAATTTGTTTTTCTCGTTACTTCATTTTTCCCAAAAAATTTTCAAGATTTCCGTCAACCCCTATTCGAAAAACCAGCTGTTTTTTGAAAAATC